AGCCACGTTGTGTGAACGTGGGAGTATCACTGCTACAAGTGCCGAGATAGGCGAGACTATTGGTGAGGAGCTATCCTCTACGACTCTATTGAGCGATGAATCGACATGGCAGGCGGCAGCGGCATGGATGGAGTACTTGCCACTGCCCGACCAGCCATTGATCGGGAGAGTACAACCAGAGGTGTGTGTATGGTGGACAACCGGAGCGGTGTATTTCGCTTGGTGAGTGCCACATGGCAGGTGTATGTTCCAGCGAGAGTGTTGCTGACAGTGGATCTTTGGTGGGGATATCGTCTAGTGTCTCACACTTGTGGACTGGGGAGATGGACGGGATTTACTGAGCCATGAAGGGCTCACGGCGGTACTCTGGTGCAGTGGGCACCATTGAGTTGGATGATTTCATCCAAGAGTTTGACACATGGTGCGATATGCAGTTCTTGCGTAACCCCACGTTGTTTACACCCTTCTTTGCTTGGAAGGGGTTGTTTCAGCATCTGGACGGGCCTCCCATGGATGACTACAATGAGTTTGGGAGAGAGTATGATGTGGAGATTGACGCATGGAGGCGTCATTGGTCTCCAAACTATATGTCGATCACCCATGATGGTGTTGGTACGAGTGGAAGTGCGAGTGGTAGCATCACCGATGATTGTAGTGGAGCAGGTATCAGCAGCGGTGCTGTTAGCGTTGCCAGTAGCAGCACGAGTGGACCCGGCATACGGATAGAGTTGGCTAGTGATACGTCAATCTTCCGTTGTCCCTATCGATATAGTGATATGGAAATGGATTTGATTCGGAGTCGGACGTTGGAGTTATTGGAGGCCGGGTTAATGGAGTTGTCGCATGGTGAGTATGCTTCAGCCATTGTTATGCCGGCGAAGAAGGATGTACATGACAACTACACAAATAGGCGTATGTGTGGAGACTACCGTCCTATCAATTGGCAGACGAAGGCCAAAAAGTATGCCATGCCTACACCTGAGTAGATCTTCGATATGGTGGGACATGCGAGGATGTTTAGTACTTTGGATCTTCGTGCAGGATACCATCAGTTGCCGATTCGCGAGGAGGACAAAGCCAAGACAGCGTTTTGGGGTGTCAACTCCCACGGCAAGGATTGTTTGTATCAGTGGCGATTCTTACCCTTTGGGTTGAAGAATGCACCTGCTGAGTTCCAGAGAGTGATGGACAGGATTCTAGCGGGGCTAGATTTCGTCAGATGTTACATTGATGATATCTTGGTGTTTAGCGACACGGTGGAGCAACACCAGATACATTTGCAGATTGTGCTTGAGCGGTTGAGGGCTCATGGTTTGTGGTTACATCCTGGGAAGTGTAGGTTCTTCGAGGAGAAGGTGGAGTACTTGGGTCATGTGATCTACCCAGGTGGTTTGGGAGTTCAGCAGTCAAAGGTGTAGGCTATTGCGCGCATTCCTCGTCCGGCGGATGTGAGTAGAGTTCGTGCATTCATGGGTTTGGCGAACTATTACCGGAGGTATGTGAAGGGATTTAGTGCTATAGCTAAGCCTTTGAACCAGTTGCTGAAGTCGGATAAGGAGTGGCAATGGGGAGATGAGCAGGAGAGAGCTTTTGTTTAGTTGTGATACCTTTGTGTGTGGACACTCTCGTTCTTTGTGTATGTATGTGTGAGTGGATGAGTAGAGACTGACAGCGATGTATGTGGTATGACGATACCGAGTCGCACGACAACTTCCGCCATAAAAATATGTACTTTGCTCAAAGTTGAAGGTCATTGGAAGTGGAAGATTTCTTGCAGAATCTTCAGTTCCTCGACAAGTTGTGCGGCAAAGTACAATGATTCCTACAATACCTCCTCTTCAAACGACATCTTCTCGGAGCAGCATGAAATTCAAACACCGATCAAGCGCTCATGACGACACGCTAGAAAATCATCAATTCCAAAACGCCCTTCTAAACAGCCGCACGCGTTATAGAGCTTTCATGTACACAAATTCGCAAACCTCCAACTCAAAAATCACTTGGCACTTAAATTTTGATCAGCGATATTCTTTAGCTCATCGTACTCAAATTTGTTGAACATCTATTCAAACTCAAGTTAAACTTTTCATAAAGTTTTTGTCTCAAAAAAATTTGTTTTCTTCACCACAAAAAGTTTCTTTGACGGGAGAAACTGTCAAAACCATCAAAGCACAGTCACATGCTTCCGAAAGTTGGAGCAAAACAAAATACTCAACTTGTCATCCACAAGCTTTATCAAAACTCTTTCATCTGTTCACTACAGTTTGCATCATCGTAAGTAAATTGTGACCGTCAAAAAACCATCGGCAGAATTCAAAGAATTCTCTCACAATTTCCGAATCGAAATCTGCTCTGATACCAATTGTAAACGTAAAATTTGACATTGAAACATTCAACTCAAGCGACCAGCACGAGAGACACTCTGTATACAGTGGTTCATTCTCTCCACGAGGGCTATGTCCACCGGAAAACTCACGCGTCAGAGTTTTACTAAGAAAGTGTGTTCCTAATACACAAATCCTGAGGTATAGATAACCCAGCGCCGACGAACCTCATAGCTATTATTAGCTAAGACTTGACGTTACTACTTAACCGGAGTTAACCTCAACAAAAACTATTATGGTAATGTGAGCATATTGGACTCAAGTTTTAGAATTGGAAACTCCAATACTTCACAATATGAGTTTACTAAACTCATAAAATAAAAATATTTATTTATATTTATTATATTTTGATTTTAAAATATAAAATCATGTAATATATAATAAAAATCATGGTTTTAAAATAAAGCAAATACAAAAAAATCTGATTTTAATTTTGTTAGATAAAAAATATTGAAATTGAATTTTTATGATGGTTTTAAAAAATTTGCATTAGAAATTTTTTCATAATATTCTATATTTATAAAAATACTTAAATAATAAAATTGATATTTGAAATTTTTTATTGAAAATAAAAAAATAAAATATTTTCAAATTTTCAAAAAATTTATTAATTTATAGATATAATTGTATACATCTCTTTTTTTTGCAACATTCACAAATTTTTTATGTTAAAAAAAATACACATACATATATCTTTTTATTTTAAAAAAATTCCACAGATTAATTAAAAGTATTTGAATAAATATTTTAACGTAAATATTGTTCTTGAATTATTATTATTTTATTTTTTATTTCATTAAAATTGAAGTGAAAAATGTCATTATAGTCAAACAAATTTAAAACTTTGAGTAAAAGAATGAATATTGCAAAAGGTATAAGGAAAAAAGATTAGAAAATGACCTAGACCAGAAAGATGAATTTCAGATTTGACTAATAACAATAAAAATCGCAGTAATGATTCGATAGACAACTTGAAAAAAAATTAAAAATTTAACCACTGAATTAAGAAAGTAGTTTAAATGATAAAGCATTGGAAAATATCCACGAAAATAAATTAAATAGATTTAATGAGAGATAAGCTATATTATAGAAAAGGAGTAATCAATTTTGTCAAGACACTAAATTAGGTATGTTAATTAAATTTTATTTTTCAACTTTCATAGATGTGAGAATGATACTCTATTTCAAACATACACTTGACAATTTTTTGATTGAATATGCTCTTACATTGAGATCCTATTTGAGAATGTTCAAATTTGCATATAATAATTACATATACAATTAATTTCAAAAATAAAAATTTAACTCAAATTTATTATTTATCTTTTAAATATTAATTATATCTATTTAATTTTAAATTATATGGATCAAATATTTAAGAATTTATTCAAATTTCTAAAATAAATAAAAAAATATTTTTCTTTTTAACTTTAATTTTGGAAATTTTGATTTGATTGGAAAATTTCAGTTTTAGTTTACAATTTAACTAATTATTTATATTTAAAATAAGAGAATTTAGATTAAGTGTTAAATTTACGTTGATTAAACAAATTTTTAAATTAAAATGCCTTTAATTTTTTTTATGTTTTGAAGAAAATTTAACATTTCTTTCAGAATTTCATCAAATTATACAAATCTGTAATGAGATTTTGTATCTAATTATTTAATATTATATGAAGTGAAAAATACATACCGGAAAAATGTGTAGATTGAATAAAATTAAACCGTTATTCAATTGCATTATTGAATAACAATTTAATGAAATTAAAGATAAGTGAATCTTTTTTATCATCAATATCGATTGCATCACATTATAATATGCGCTCTACCACCAAGACATGGAACATAAGTGATTTCCATCATAACTATGATGCAATGGCCACTTTTTTAAAAAAATATTTTTGGAAATTTTTTAGTTTTTTTCTGTTTTTTAGAATTTTAGAATTTTTTTTGAAATACATTTAACTATTGCATAACGTTTAAGTCTAGACGAAGCATGTTAAGTTGTTTTTCGAAAACATTTGATTGTATAGCAATTGGTTGATTTTCAACTAGAATTATCTTGATATTTAAAAATAGATATTAATATGAGGAATCTTTTCTTTACTAATTGCTATTCTATTTGATAGTGCAACTAATGAAATTTGGGTCTGTAGTTTGAAATTGCTTGAGAAATATTTTGAAACGAGAACATTTTCATACCTCATATCATAACAAAATATGGAAAATAATAATCAATCTAAAATAATATTCAAACTTATATTCAAAAGTATAATTTTAATTTCATCTAAATCTTTGTAATAGTTTATCTAATCGATATTGAAACATAGAAAAAATTATGATCATAATCTTTTCTACTAAAGTTTTGAATATCATGGAATTTTTTGAATTTTAATCATATAGAATAGGTTTCAACTATAATTTAACATTCACAACTCATATAACTGAAACAAAATTTAAAACAGAGACACTCGTTATAAACATCTATAACATCTCATCAGCATACATTTTAATCATCACATCAACATTGAATGTGAATTGCAATTCAGTACAGTCGATTACTAAAATTGAAACCAGAAAAATTATATTATATATCATAAAATATATAAACATGGGGGGTAATTTCTCGTCTTGTCAGTTACTTCAGATCTTGTAGTGTTAATGTATGAGCACGTGCCGATTAAATTTTCTGAGATACTGAAATTGGTCAATTGTGTGTACTTGCTTGTTGAATTTGCACTCGGCTTCGGCTCCTGTCCAGAAGACATGAGTAAGCATGGAGACGAAGGTGAAGATTTTCTCTACATTCTTAGACTGTAAGATGCCAATTATAACATCTGTCAGATGGAAATGTGAAGAAAAACGGTGATTTTAGCTGGTATTATGATGACTGAGAAGATGAGGAAGGTTTTCAGTGAGTTTTTAGTCATGTCCGAAAGTGAAATGCGGAGACTTTACGCTAACAAAAGAGGCACTTTTTGTCGCGTTAGATCCTGATTTTCGGGCCATTCGATCACCTCCAAAAGTACAAGTGAGCGAGACTTCGATGTCATCCCCTCTTGCGTTCCTCATCGAAGTCAGAAAAATATAAAGAGACGAAACCCGGAGAAAACGCTGAATATCATATTCAGCGAAGTCTCGGTGAAAGCTGGATTCCACCAGCACCGAGTGATGGTTTCATCATACTACACCCTTTAAAGAAAAAACCTACGAACCCACTCAGTCATTTGACTACATTTCGATTGCAATCTCATGCACACGCTACCAAACTGCAATGACTGGTGTGATGGGATGTCAGGAAAATGCTCGCCCACCCCATGCGGTAGTCCAAAGGGCCGAGGCATATTTCAGGCGGTCTGGAGGTGTCAAGCACACAGGACTGATTGGACCTAAAGGCAGGAGTAGAGTGGAGTGAATCTAAAATAAAATAATGAGAGAAAATTCTCCCTCTCTCCTACCGTCTTCGTCTATAACGGTGAGAGGTCAGTGAGTAAAATAAACGAGAATCGTCTACTGTCTGAGAGCAAATCATGCCTCCAAACAGATGAATGCAAGTCCAAGTATTAAACTGCTGATCCCATACTTGCCTACATATTCCATCTTGCTTTTGATGTTGTTCCTGCGAAGCCTGAGAGAAAAATCGACAGAGGTATACTTCAGAGATGGGAACAGCCGGCAGGGCATGGTAGGTTGGGCGGACATCCAACCGACCCCTCGGTCAGTCCGTCGTCGTCTTCATGTCATAGACGGGGAATCTCATTTAAATAGAAACGTGTACTCGAATGTGACGTACCGTGATTGGAAATGAACGCGAAGTTCACTCGGATTGCATGAGTCCATGAGGCAACACTAGGCTGTAAAGAGCTGATGATGAAGCAGCGGCCGGTCTCCCGAGAATCAATGGAAGGCGCCAGAATGGAGAGGCTAGAAGTGTATAAAATGGTACCTCTCCTCCCGAGAGGTGAAAGTGACCTGGTTGTTTGCATCACATGAGATCACTCGGATCAGGGCATTTACTTTTCGAATTTGCTGTTTTCGAATCGACCCACTCCTCTCCTCCGGTCTGGTCTTTGGATCGAATAGTGCATTTACCAAGAGCAATAGAAAAGAATGTAGAAACGGCCCACCCGAAAAAACAAGTCAGCAGAGGAAGGAAAAAGAAAAAGTTGAATGAGAAGAAGGGGAAGAGGAGGAGGAGGAAGAAGAAGTGAATAATGGGCTTCCATCATCACGATCATCAGGCTTAAAATAATCGAAATCCAAAGTACCTGAACCAAAACATATTCATTGATTTCAAGAAGCAATAAAGAATCAGGAGTCGTTTAGGTTACCAATAAACAAAACTTCTCGAGACTGGTGATTATGTCACGGCCTCTCACTTTCTCCCTTCTTTTCATGCAAGCGCCGAGAGAGTAGTAACCAAGCGATTGAAGACGAAAGGACCGCTGGAGAAATACTAATTAAGTTGTCCTCCTCCTCCTCGTCCTGCACTTCGATCTGCTGCGGCTGCTACCGCTGAGCAAGTCTGCTGCCGCTGCTGTTGGGTGACAAAGACAACAGGCCAGGGCCATACATCTTGCACTTACACATTCATATAAAGATTTTCTCTCTTGCGTGTTCCGAGTGCTCGTTCTAGGTTACATCACCCGAGCGTACCTCATTGTACTGTACAAGGCCACAAGCTCTCGCTCCATCGCCATTTATCCGGGGAGAGGGCTAATAATTCCATGTTAGATTCACCTACCTCATGCTTCATATTTTGTTGCGAGCGGGTTGGCATTACATCGCGGGGGCTCGGGAACCGTGCGATGCTACGTACATATTCTTGTACTTTTTATATGTTGCGAGGGTACGCCACATGAAGTAGTGGCCATGCTCTAGCCCTTGAGACCTACGTTGAAACTATGCACCCAGGGAAATAGAGAGAAGTGAAAGGATGGATGGTGGAAGGTCAAGAACACTCACCTCATCCCAAGAAGACAGACTTGGACCAAAAATTTCGACGGAACTATGATTCTACAACTTACAAAGCTCACTCGCAGTGGAATGAACCCACTACGGCAAACTTGTAAAAAAAGGAACAAAGGGAAAGAGTCCGCTCAATGGGAAAAAGCATCCCCGTTCCCCAGGGTGCCAGAAGAAGACTGTCGTCGAAATCCTCGCGTGAGCAACAACATGAGAACAAATCCTGAAAACACTATCGAGATGTACGGAAGCTTTGGTGTCACCCGACCTTGAAGCGAGAATTCCCCGTTTGATCTCAACATTCCATTTGAAATTCGCTCTTTCCTTCGTCGATGCGAGTCCAGAGGAAAGGCTTTGCCTCGTTCATGCCCTTCCGCCATGGAATTGAAGCCATATACGAAAGAAGACGACGCGATGTCATAAATCCGGAGGTCGCCGGCTCCGACGGAACCTTTCAAGCTGGCTGACGGAGCCATAGACCGGGTCACCGGGAGGGAGACGAATCCTCCTTGATATGGTCTAGAGCGCTTGTACCATCCTATCCTACGGAACCCTATCCACGGCTACCGGACAGGGACATCCTGGTCCCCGCGGTAACTTCTCAAACTCATGCTTCTACCTCGTGGAGTCACCGACCATCGTGGGTTTTCATCCACGTTCTAACTTCCGTTCGTGAGTCGTCTCTCGGTGACGAGCACACCGTATGCGCGTCCATGCCTCTGATCTTCCGGTAGGCGGTGACGCTCTGTCTTCGCATATGGAAGGGCGAAGGGACCGTACGCACCGGATTTCGAAGGAAGCTTTGCCTGTCCGTCCCTTCCCGTTGACGGACGTCCAGGAATCCCGGTTCCGCTGGCGCGTTCGTTGGTGGATCCGGTGGGAGCCGGGGCCTGGGGGCGGGCCCCACGGGTGGAGAGACATTCTTGTGAGGTTGGATGGGGTGGGTACCGCGGGGATCGGTGACTTCGAGCAGTGGGAGCGATGGGAGGAGAAAGCCAAATATAGAAAGAGGTGGAGGCACTGCCCGCCTGCCCGCCCGCCTGGCTGCCTGCCTGGCGGGCGGGCAGGGTGGCTGGGTTGGGGAGCGGAACGACGTGGACGGGACGCGGGCGGTGGGGCTCAGGCCTGGCTGCCGAGGAGCCGGGACGGACGATCGTCACGCTCTAGCACAACAGAGGGTGCCAATCCTATCCTTATTGTCCGTAAGTCGGAGATAGTTCTCTTTCACCCGGCGTAACTTAATCGCCCGTCTTTCTCCGCGCATGCTGCATCATGCCCCATCTCAGATGACGCCATATCAAGCTGGCTCGCCACGTCATGCCACGCCCCGCCACGTCTGTCTCACTCCGCCCTCTCCTCTACCCGTCTCCCCTCCCGCCCCCCTCTCGCATTCTCGCCCCCATCATATTCATCCCTTCCCCCTCTCTTCTCCCCATCCCTCCCTCCCTCCCTCTCCCCGGCTGCTCTCCGCTCTCCCTCCCCCTCCCTCCGAACAACGGCACCCCAACGTTTCCCGTCGCGCGAGCGTCGTCGTCGTCCCGTCCCGTCCCGTCGTTTTCCCTCGTTTCTGTCTGTCAATCGTCGACAACCCCATCCCCATCCCGCTCCCGCTCCCTCTGCAGGCCGGCGCTTGTCGCTTGTTTCTCGCTGCCGCTTGGCGCGTCGTCGTCGTCGCTGGTGCTTGCTGCTGCCGGCGATGCTCCGCGGCTCTCGACGCCTTTTCTCTGAGAAAGCGGCGCGAGGGGCTCGCCCGCCTTCCTCTCTCTCGACCGCCGCGGCCGCTGCCACTGCCTGCGGTCGGCTCCCGTCAGCGGGGCATTTCTCGTCTTCGCGAATGCATGAGCGAATGGAATAGTTCGGTCGCTCCTGCACTCGGAGCTCACAGCGAATTCAGGAGCGTGTCTCGGCGGCAGTCTTCGGACACAATAAGAGATCGCTCGACGAATTGCGCACGCGATTGGAAGGAGAGGTGCGAGCGAGCGACGATGGACGGATTGGGCGGTGATCGAGCGCTGGAGTGACATGCGGGCGTCGAGAGTCGTCGAGAGCTGAGGAGCGGAGCGCAGAGGGAGCGGGAGGCGGGGTGCCAATCTCGGCTTGCTGCGGAAGGAGGCGCAGGTGTGCGTGCAGGGTGTAGGAGCTGGGGGCTGGTGGGGGTTGGGGGAAGGAGAAGAGAGGAGAGGAGACGAGAGGCAGAGATCCGGTGCGGGGTGCGCAACGGGCGCGAGATTTGCGTTACAGAAAAGAAGCGCGCGGTCGAGACCGCGGCCTCGGTCGGTCCGCTCGCTCGCCAGCTCTGGCACCGTTGCCGGACGCGAGCGACTCGTTCCGTGCGACGACGACGAAAGCCGCCGGCGGAAGCGACTGGCGAACCGAGTGGTGGTCCGGTCGGCTCTGCGTCTCGTGGCGCGGCGCGGCCTCCCTACCCGTCGTTTCCCGGTTCTCTCGCACCGGCGAAAACAACAACGAAGTCGGTCCTGATCCCGCCAGACCGACGACCTTGACCGCGACCGACGTGCGCCTTTCTCCGGCTCTACCGCACGACATGGACCCATAATCACGTCGACGGTGACATTCGGTCGCGCGGAAGAGCAAAGCGTCGCGCTCCCGGTGGCAGAAACTTACCGCGAGGGATTCGGAGCCTGGCGGAGATTTCGAGGGATCTCGTGGTGTCGTCGTCGTCGGCGGCGGCGCGGTGACCGGGAGACGAGACGGGAAGCGAGCGGCGGTGCCCCACTTATGCTCTGCCTGGAGCCGAGAAGGCCTTCCGGCCTCGAGAGCGGCCCATCGTCAATTGCCAGGCTGCCGCCGGCGGCGGCTCATATGCGCGTCGCGCTCTCGGCTTTCTTCTGCGAATGTAGTAGTAGCAGTAGAGTCGCGAGGACGGACGGTCGACGCCACGACTCCGATGCCGGTTGTCGCGCCGGAAGCCGTCGCAGCGGCGCCACGACCATCCCTTCCGAGAAGCAGTACATCTCTCAGTGTGGGACCCACCTGCAGTTGAAACATCCGCTGTGCGTGCCGGTATGATGAAGCCGGTGCCTGCCGAGGCGCAATTGGTCTAGAAGCTCTTGCCCCCGACCCCCCTTCCCCAACCCCCCTCGCCGCCTCCGCCCCCGTCCCAGTCGCAGTCCCAGTCCCAGCCCCCGTCCCCGTCCTCGTCGCCCGTGCGGAGACGACATGCGGCAGCAGGAGTGGCAGATGAACGTCGTCGTCGTCGCGGCGCTGCCCCAGAGGTTCATCGAGCACGACGACGGGCCAATTCGAAGCTCCGCTCTGCGGACGAAGCTCGTCGACGCCTTCTTCAGGAGAGTTTGTTGCCCCGTGGAGCAGCGATCGGATTGAGCGAGCTCGAGCTCGCGTAGGATCTCGAGCCTGGGAATTCGTCTCGCCCGGGAGGAGCGCTTTCGCGTAAATGGCCGATTTCGCGAGCGGGCGGTCGGAGCATGGCCAGGACGAGCGCGCGCCGAGCGATGATCAGGAGAGGGAGCTTTACGAGAGAGCGCGCAACGCGGCGAACGAGGCCGTGCGCGAGGGCAATGCGCAGCTGAAAGCTGCAATGGCAGCGGCCGGAGCTCCGAGGCAATGCGCGGGGACTCCCGCCCGTATGAATCGATGGTCTTTGATCTTCTCCTGCCCTCGTCTCGAGGCTGCCTACCGCCGCAAGGCCACCTCCAACGCTGACAATTGCGACCACCTTCCAATTTTGTTCAAGATTGCCATGAGCGTGCCGCACTTTTGTCAGGCGCTTAATCGAATTGCGAGTCGGAGGAATTTGTTTTCAGAGGTATTTTCCGCTCTGTTTCACATTCCTCTTGTCCATGATGTCACGCTCACGCACGCCCTCACGCCCCGCCGCCTTCGCCCGGTCTGTGTTCTTCTTTAGGGCCAGCGTGTGACGTTTCCATCCCTCCCGGTCCGCCAGGTTCGTTGTCGACCCTGGGCGTGATTTTGGCCTGGCTGTCAACGTCAGCACTTGATTTTCAGTCTCTGATTTTCGAGTCCTCTGTGGGTTCTCGTGGTTTGAGCGCAACGCTTGTAAAGCAAAATTTGGGGCGCTTTGGGTCAGTCGCACCATCGTCTGGATTTTCATGCCAGCTGCAGCAGCTCGGCACCTTTTTTTTTCGAGGAAAGTCGTAGACCTGGCAATCTGCTCTCACTAAACGTGGGGGTTTGCAGACACTGCAGGTGTAATTTGAGGAGTGACCTCCCGGACCTCGGGATTTCTCTGTGTTTCTTCTCACCGACGTGCTTTTCTATCTCGGCTGTTTTGCAGACGCCTCTATCTCTTCGCGAGTTTTTCGTCTGCGAGCTCTGGGCGATGTGGGCTGCTGTATTCTGTCTTGCCGTGCTGGCTGTTCAGCTGAAGTGTCCACAATGGTACGGATACCCAAAATGCACATGTAGCACAGGTGGTGGACCTTGATTGCCGAGTGTTAGCTCAGGCCTGCTTCTGTCAGTGGCTCGTTGATTTCGAAGCGGGTTCACGTCACCGCTGGGTCTGAGGTTTCTATCTCCGTCAAACCGACGATATCTCTTGTTGAGTTGTCCTAATGATGTCTAGAATACTTACATCCTCTGTTGAACAGAGATGTCTACTTTGGAGGTTGTATGAACTGAAGAAGTATTTGCACGAATTACAAGAACGTGACTACCTCTCATCTCAGGTGAGGTGGTGCCGTTTAGTTCACAGAGCTCGTTTGTGAGCTTGTTGTGGCTTGCCCCTTCGATTGACATTCTCTCGCGATCGCTATTTTCAAACCAGAAGTAAGTCAACAAAAGACTGTCGCGTATGAGAGGCAGAAAGAGTTTCAACTTGCGTATCCGGGTTGAGGCCCCTTCCTCATCTTTATCCTCTGTTCTGTACAGGTACAAGAGAAATCGCGGTGCTGCGCTGAAGTACTTTGTCATGTTGCTTTGGGCCTGGGAGAGTGTGAGACTCTATCTGAACACCAATGTAATTAACCTACTGTCACTCGATTTCGATTTATTGCTTGTCTCGCTCTCAAGATTGGGATCCTTCCACTGCACTCCATCCGGTTAGGATCAAATCAGATTCTACCTTCGGGAGAATGAACCACTTTCATATGTGGCGTGATGCTTTACAGCCGTTTGACATGTCGATCCTGCAGTTGTGACAGTCTAACTGCGAGCATGTCCTGAACGCAGTCTTTCCCCTGATCTCTATGTCGAGGAACGAGGCGGTGATCTGATCCGAATGTTTGCTTGCAGGAATTCAAGTACATTTTTTTGGAGGTGGTCCTCGTAAACGTCTATATGAGCTTCCTGGATCGGGTGCCATTTATGTAAGTATCCTGCGTTTCTTTCTCTACATGGGGCCACCTCCAAGTCGGTGATTTGTACCCTGTTAAAAACCTTAGATGTGCAGATGTGGGAAGTGAAGGTCAACTGCACATTCGTCAATCGTATCTCAGCTGCGGGCGAGCAGCTTTTGCTTTTCGTCCCAGCTTGTGACGGGCAGGTAAGTGGAAAGGAGTATCCTGGGTGTACAGACCGGGACGATCGGGCGTTTGTTTAGTGTGATCGACCTGTCTCGGGAGCTCGAAGGGCACACGTCGTTCCAGCTTCTGAAAGCTTCGTGATCATCACGTAGTTCAAGTGAGCTCTAACACGCGTGTGGTCGATGTTTGCAGAACTCACTTGCAGTCCAGATGCATCGGCTGGGGGGAACAGGTTGTTGCCATCATCAGTAAAGGCTTGGATTTCAGACGAACCCTTGAAGTCATGTTCTTTGCTGTGGTCACCCATTCGATTGGGTTGATGATCGCGTACTGTTTTGACCGCTCTGCGCGAAGACAATTTCTGAAATCCTTACCTGTCTGGTTACTGGACGAAATGAATGGGAGTGGCGCTCGGCCACAGTTCTATCTATCGTACAGAGCCTCCCTCTCTCGGCAGCTGTGGAGTATATTCTATCCCGAGTTTCTCGAAAATCCAGAGCCCGCAACTGGTGACAAAGCTGTCACTTACGAGCAGATCATGGCGCCACGAAGGGCCCTGGGAGGGTTTGCGGGCGGCTTCGGGGGCGTGTCAAGCCTCAAATGTACGGGCCCAGTGTCCAATTCTCCGTCCCCGCTATCTTCATCGAGTAGTTTGTCAGGGAGAACATCAGATTCATCGTCGGGCCATTGGGCTGGAGTGGGCTTGACGGAATCTGGGCTATCTTGCGGCGAGATCGTGTCCAATGGCCATGACAGCACCGGCTACCAGCGTCGAGAATTTGCCACTTGGGCCCCTTATGTCACGACCAGTGCATGCTCTCAAGTAGGGATGGACGACACTGAATCTCAGTACATGCGCAGTCGCGGACTCAGAGCAGCTGCAGCAGACAAGACGGAATACTGCTACTGAGGGGAAAGTCCAGCATCTCTGAGGAGATTCAGCGTCCTATGAAACTGATGAGTGCCGCTGGGGGTCTAGAAATCCGTACAAGGATTCTCGAGCAACTTTCTCTGCCGGTGCTCGGCTACACGAGACATCTCATGCTCGGCTTTGGATGTCTGTGGCACCTCGTCTGAGGAACTTGTACTTCACCCGTTTGACTGAATATTGGAAGCTCACATGTGTCTCCAGAGTACCTCACTCAGCAGTTGGGTGGAGATCGGGTTTCGTCCATTCTCTCACGGGGCTTCTTCCGTTGGCTGACCTTGTCCAGCGGACATCTCACAATACAGGATGCCCCACAGCGAGCGAGGTCTTGTGAATCACGCAAGACCATTCCATCACCTGCACCGACTCGACTCGGCTCGGCTGGCTGAGTCCCAATGCCCAAGCCCCGAGCTCATAAGCTGACTAGGGCGCTTTGGGTCAGCAGTTCGAAAATGGTGGAAGAATTTGGCAGAATGGTCGTCGATCCGGGCAAGGCCGATGCGAGACTCGGGCTCTTTCGTGTCGGATGCGGCATCGGTCTTCCAGACACGCCTTCCAGGCCTCAGTCATCCACCGTCCGTCGTGGTAGCACACAGTTTGGCACAGAAACCCATCGCATGCAGCGGCTTCTCGCAGAGGGCGAGATGCCGTGAATGTGATACGATCAAAGTACGCACACCTGCATCGTAGCACTTCGAGCCAATGCCGGAGCTTTGACGGCTCGTCGACGAACGACAGCTCACGAGGCGAGAAGGCGTACTTGAAGAATAAGGATGCGGTGGGCCATCCTTTGAGGATCGAAGGCTGTTTCCCTCACCAATTCTCGTACAGTGAGTGAGTGGTGTATCTTCGACTCCCAACACGAAGTTTTGTTATTCAGAGCGGTCCTTCCGGCCTCGATGAAAGCCGACGGCCACCTGCGAGGTCCCTGCCCAGGCCTCAGGCCTCAGGCTCAGGTGCCAGCCGCCGCAGCTGGAACACGTCGAGGGTTACGAGGTTTGCACAGTTCTGTTGTATAATATAATTAGACGGTTCTTCCACTTGCAGATTTTCCAATGCACCGAATGGATCGGTCCAGACCAGACCGTCCTCGAGTGTCATGTTTGTAGATGGACGGGGAGGGCAGGATAGGTAGATTACTGGATAGCTCTCGATAGGTAGATAGATAATTAGATAAACAGATCGATAGATAGTGAGGTCGAAAGAAAAGCTCTGCCCTCTCGAGAGCTTCTCGCCTCTCGCTCTGTCTGTCTGACTTGCGTCTCGGTTCACGCGAAATCGAATGAATTATGATCATGGCAGATAACTTTCCGAGTCGACGCCCTTTGCCTTACATGAAATGAAATGAATCGAATCAATCATCGTCGTTTCCTGCAGCTGCCGTCTATCACGAAAGAGAGCTCGCTCGCTCGCTCGCTCGCACCATGAACCCATTCGATCGATCGATCAGTCAGTCAGTCAGTCAGTGCATGACGTCCGGATGGTTCCGCCGTTCGCTCCACTCCACAAGTCCGCAATCTCGGTCGGCAGGCTTGAGGATCCTCGATCTACAGACACACCGCCGCTGCGCCGCGCGCACCAAGAGGCTGGATGAGCTCTTCGCCGCTCGCGGGGCTCGCCTGCAGGAGGGGAGCATCGTCATCCATCCGGACGAGATCGGCCCATCCTCTCGAACGTCGCGAGGAGCAGCAGCAACAGCAGCAGCGGGCGGAGCGATGGCCGAGGGCTCGTCGTCGGGGCCGAGGCGAATCAGGCTGAGGCCCGAGCGGCTGGACGCCTCCAGCTTCGAGCCCTTCGGGCAGATCGTGAGCGCGGGAAAAGATGGCGCTGCGTTCGGCGAGCACGACGCGCAGCTGGACCTGAGCCGCGGAATTCCTCGGTATGGGCCTCTCCTCCCCTCCCCTCCTTTCCTCTCCCCCACCTTTGCCCCTTCGCCATTGCGCTTCGCTGCGAGAAGCAGACGAGATCGGGTGACGAGCGATGGCGGCCTTCAAGGTTGGCGCCGATTGCTTGCGTGTGCTTACGTTCGTTTCCCCCGTGACATCACAGCCGAGCGCTGGGCACGAGGCCTGACTGCCTGCCTGCCCTGCCTGCGGGACGGATCGAGAGAGACAGAGAGAGGGAGAGAGAGAGCGTGCGCGTGTTTTAGAGTGCGAGTGCTCGAGCGTCGATTCTTTCACCCACTTGCTCAGCTGTTGCTGCGACTGCCACTGGGCCGATGATGACCCGGCCTGAGCGCATAATGGTACACAGAGAGAGATGGAGAGCGAGGGAGGGAGGAGGGATTTGACTTGACTGCACAGCCACTTGACGCGTAGATTGAGGACGGGACGGGAGAGGGCTGAGGTAATCTTCTTACGAGGGGCTGACGGCCTGACCGATCGAGTGATCGAGCGAGTGAACGAGTGAATGAATGGATGAGTGTGTGGGTGGGGCTGGCGCAGGTTCTACATCATGAATCTGAAAGATCGCAAGCACTTGACTTTCGGGAATATCACGCATCACGCTAGAGTTACGCAGTGTTTGGGATCGATCGGCGGGCACACCTGGTACCTGGGAGTGGCGCCGGCCAGCGTCATCGAGCACCAGGGCGACGAGCAGGACGTGGTGCGAGCGTCATCGGGCCATTACTATGTGCGCCCTTCCCCAGACCAGGTTCGGGTTTTTCGAGTCGAGGGCCCCCACTTTTTAAAGCTCCATGTTGGAACTTGGCATGCCGGGCCCTTTTTCAAGCACGACTCCATGAATTTCTACAACTTGGAGTTGAGCGACACCAATGTGAGTCCCCTCTCGCCTCCTCTCCCACCAGCACTTGGCACTTGGCTCTTGGCTCCCTCCCTCCATCTCCTTTTCGTCTTCCTCTGCCTCTCCTCGCTCTCTCTGCAGGCCCTCAGGCACTCCGGCAGCCTGTCAGGCACGCCCGCAGCATGTCAGTCGGTCAATCACGCCTCCCGCTGCTGCTGCTGCTGCTGCTCCATGCCTCCTCGCCTTCCTAGAACCTCGTTGATTGATATGCTTTTCTAGAGCAGGCGTCATAGCCGAATGCCATTTGGTCGCTTGAGTGGGCATCCATCTGAGGCACGGCGATGCTTGTTCAACGAGCGGACGTTTGTTGGTCTCGCGCACTGATGCCAACCGACACGATCTCGTCCCAAAGTAGCAGGAGCTGCCGTGACATTGCATCCGTCGACACATCAGAAGTTGGCTCCTCCCTGGGAACTCGAGTGGACGGACATTCGTCAGCAAGTGCCTGAATCTCCGTCCCCCATTTGACTCCCGCACTTTTTCTTTCTGCTTGTTTCACTTGTTCGACCACCTGCTCGTGGGCTCACTAGTGTGACCTTTAATCTAGTACTCGTCATTCGTCGATCCTGAGGGAGATTCGAGTCGGTCGTTCTCGAGCAGCATCAAGCAATTAGCGAGCGCGAGCGAGGAGCATGTGTGCGGGGTCGAGGGACCTTTTGCTTTTGGTCATTGCGGTGACAGTGGTGGTTGTGTCTGTTGACGTCGGTCCACGTCGCCCGCTCTCATGTGCTCAAATTCGGTGCAGGAGGTTGATCACACGACTCACGTTTTTGAAAAGGAGGACCAGGTCATCTTTGAGATCGATGATTAGTTTTTTCCTCTCTTCTGGATCGCTACGGGATTCCTACTTCTGAGTCCTGACTAAATCTCACTGACACGACGAGGGAGGAGAGATTGGAGGTCGGTTTTCGCCTTGAGAAACAGCTCAAGAGTCGAGCAACACCAGCAGCACTGCAGTGTTTACTTATAGTCGTATATGTACATGTGCTGTTGAATTCGCCGATGCCATGACCACAAAGAACGAGATGTGACGTAGGTTGAGTACAAAGGTCTTCATCTCGTTTTGGTGGCATTGTCCAGAGTAAGGATTTCGTCAGCTGGTGCTACCTCTAGATGGTATCTCTCTCGTAGGAACTTCTCAGCGCAGGAGAAGATCACGTCATTAGTTTGCGTGTAGAATAGTAACACTACTGTTATCAATTATGATCATGTCGAATGAACGTGTTCCGTGTACTAATGATTATATCCTTACATTCAGTGTTTAAGAAGCCCGGGTGCTGCTGATACAATGTCCTCATTGAACTGATTCAATTCACTTGAATATGGCTGTTAGTCGACACTTTCATTCACAATGAACTCTGCACCACTATAACACATCACATATCATAATAGCCCTATACAAAAAGCGGGCTCAAAATTGCCACATCGCATACTCAGTTTCTTTTGCATTTTCGATCCAGTCAATTCCTGGAATATTCTGTTTGCAGGCGTGAAGTCGAAGGACAAACAATCTGCCAAACTATAGATTGCCGTTGCAAGTAGCAAACTCTGTTCTCACTATGTACAACTGAGTAATACTGTCCACAAGTGAAAAGCTAATGAACTCCTGAATGGCCTGCCATGCCCACATCCACGGTGAACATAAACAAAGTGCAACAAAACCGTTACCTTCTCGGATGATTCACACGACAACAGTCATGTGGTACTGTACCTCGACAAATGCCAGCTTTGCGGCTTGGCAGACAAGTTCATAATATACGCAACTCATACATTTGAATTTACTTTTATATATGATTTGTTCGCTTTGCTGTTAGAATTGACAGTGATTTGTGATGCACATGTAGCAAAATTGATACACCCAAGTGAATCTCAAGGGTGTATATTCAGTGGTTTTACAATGTGAAGGCGTCAGTAATTACTCTCCATCTAACTATTCTATTTTCCGACGTGTGAACGGCGCCAGCAAGTGGGGACTTAGAGCTCAATGTATACATGTATTAGACCAAGAGTCGTTGCGCATTAAGGAGCAGCTTCCTTCATCTTGCTGAATGAACTAGATGTGATTGTCCTCGTGCCAGAAAATTAGAACTAGCGTGCTGACAAACGATCAAAGATGACTTACGCCTTCTCTGATATGACAGTGGCACTGTTGGTTAACTGATTCCGATAATCGACCAGCTCTTTTGCCACTGCAATCTTATTATACTTTTCCGCCTGCAAGAGAGAACATGTAAAAACCCCCACCTCACACTCAGATTAGTAACACGTATGATATGCTTGTATCTTACTGACAAACTGAACAGCATAATCCTGAAGGCCGTGTAACATTGAAACAGCTGAACCGAAGGATAAAATGAGCAACCATTAAGACAGTGTGGAGATCAAACCTGAACAATAAGCTGTTCCAAAAAGTTGGTCTTGTCTACAGGGAAATCTGGTGAAGAAAGAAGCTCAAAAAGCTGCCCCACAATAGCAACTTCGTTAGTGCAAACCTAAGTCCACTTTATATTCCTCGACACCATTACATCAGTGGGAAGGTTCATATGACACAAAAACAAGAAACAGGATACATCCAAATCCAAAAATCTAAGGCGGCATTATATATAATCGATCGAAGACAAAAAAAGAAGCTAATAAAGCCCTGTATCGACAGCTGGAGAGCTCCAAAAAACAACTTGTGAAATTTGTGAAAAGTGAAAACAGAAAGCAAAACAAACACTACTTGCTTGGCGAAACTAGTTTCCTTTGCGTGAACAGTAGGAGAAAAAAATATGATGACGATAGTGGTACCTTCTGGGTATTGCTTGGTTTTGAATATCGCAGTGCTCTAACGATAGTTAACAAGAAGCTAAGAACTTCTTGTCTATCCTTCTCCGTGCCTAAAGGAGTATTATGTACAAGTCGCCTCCTTTTGATACAGCGTGTAGGCTCCTCCGATGCTGCGTGAAGTCTCTCTAACAAATCTCCACCAGCTGGGATATCCAAACTCTCAGACGACGCCGTTGGAAAATCTAACGAAGTTGTTACAGATTGCTTATCTCCAACAAACGATCCGTGAACTTTCCTGCCATCCACATTTTCCTCTGCCATCACTGCATCGGTCATGGGAGAATCTCTACTTTCGGTTGGAATGATAGTTTCGTTCACGTCGGTAGACCTTGAATCACTCAGCCGTTCATAAACTTTCGTTCCAGTCGTAATAAGTGTGTTTCGAAGACCATCCGAGCTTGTTGGCTGTAATTCTGGCAAAGTCCTGGCAGGAGAAGTAACCTCAGCATTAGCTGAACCTGCTTCAGAATTGCCATCTACTGCAGAACCTGAACTAGAAAGGGACGACGTGGAAGCGCTGGGAGATTCTTGGCGGCGCCTTCTCTTTCTTCCTCGAAAAAGAGGTCCCCCTGGACCTTCCATCCAAGCTTCATCTGCACCATCATTCTTTTCTTGTCTATACGGATTTCCGAACATTGTCCTTTGCTGCTTGGTACGATCCTGCTCTTCTGCCTGCAGGCATGATACATGCATAATGGACGTTACAATGAACGTGGAAGACGAAAAAGTACTCTTCATAAGTACTTACATAACAGAATGTCATGTTAGTATGGACATTGGGCATAGCACTGGCATTCTGCGTTGTATGTTACATCCATATTATCTGATTCTCCTATTTCACATAAGCCTCATATGATTACAGGTACTTCTCACATTTGGAGTAGCAATTGTAAAAAATAATACTCACGAATGGGTTTCTTGGAGGTTGCTGCTTCATAAGGGCTTCGTTAAAGTCGCCCATCTGCGAACACATGCAACGAACTTATAAAACTTTGTTACATAATCTCCTCTCAAAAATTAGAAATGATGTCTTGGAAACCTCAAGTGACTCTTTTGACTCTCAACAGTTCATACTATATTACTTAATTAGTCATTTATTTCGTGTATTAAAAAAAGAAACTGCAGCATCAGGGCTTGTGCATGGACTTTCATTACTCGAAAGCTAAAATAAGTACAGGACATAAGAGCAACTACTTGCGAACGGAGAAGGCCAAATGACCTCATAGTTATGAGAAACATGAATTGCATGTACAGTAAGGCTGAGTGACAAGAAGCTCCTACCTTCTCTATTGGCAACGAGTGGCGTGCTTCGTCTTCTTCCTTCGCTGCTAAGCGAGCCGCAAGCACACTTATCGCTGACGATTTTCCCTTTCCATTGTCCATTCTTCGACTCTGGCGGGTATCCATAGCGACTGCGATGCGGATGGGCAGGTACTGCAACTGCCTGCAGACAACAAAAACACGAACTATTACTCAAATATAATCTGTCATGGGTAATTAATTTTAGACTAAAGATTCCCAGCCCTGGGTGAGGGTTCCTACTGGTAAAAATTTTGAAAGTCTTCTTTCTTGTGGATTTTCTTCCAGAAGATCAATTTGGTTTAGAGCTTCCATTTGTACACCACGAAAACCTTCATTAATTCATCAACCTTTAGAGCCATATTGCCCCAGAGTTTATTACTAGAGTGCAACAGCTGTATGCTTCGAATCGAGGCTAAGAAACTCCAAGGACCTTCATAGCTTTTGAGCAGCTAGGTCAAGTAGTGGTCTTCCTGATCTAAGGCAACCTGGATTTATCCAGGCTCGAACTGATCGTGTTTAGTGACTAACGTGACAATGAACAACTAAACTATCACTTTTATGAAGTAAATAAGAAGCTAGATGTATAAATTTGGTAAAAGCTAGATGTACGTATTTAAAAAGAGAAATCAAAGCCCGTTATATATCAAATAACTAAATGGGCGGGCAATAACTCACGAACACACAATACTTGGTGCGAGAAATTAATCACCTTAGAAGCTGGTCACGAGGTACATCAAATGGGTTCTTGAAAAGGGGAATGTCCTTCATAACTCCAATACTGGCAGAAGCTGAAATATTGTCGCTGTTCTGGTTTCCTATAGTAGACCCATACGCAGGTAAATTTTGAGTTCCCTGGCCACCATATGATCCGGCTGATGTGATAGCAAGAATTCCTGTAGCTGTGGAAGGTCCGTTAGGAATAAGTGCCTCCCAACCTTTCCGCGCACCGAGCTGATCACCATGGCCTACACCCCGACACGGCGGAGTTGCTGGCAATGGTGTCGAAGCCGTGTTGTTCGCAGCACCTGCGTTAGTGCCACTGCTAAAGCCAGGTGGCGCTTCGGTGCTCGTCGTTGATTCTAATGGTAAAATCCTCCCCTGATAGTTGAAAGTCGTATTCGAGCCAGTATTTACACCCAGCAATTGTTGCTCAGTCTGTTGATGAACAAGAATTTTCCACAGCTACAGTCAGCGTGTAAAAAGAATTCAAATCCATGACCGTCTAAATATTGATGATGCATGCTTTAAGACTGATTCCGCTGAGGAAATTTCCGATCTAATAACCACGTTACAAATTGGATCATGAGCGTGGTTACAACTGATACATGCAGACAGCATATGAATAACCATCTCGTTGAAGATGCACACAAGAGGAACAGATTAATGGAATAAAGACTCTCTTGTAAAGCTTTCACACCACCAAAAGTAACAGACACTGGTGAGATCTGGGTACCAGTATTCGCTTCATATCGTCATCCAAGTCTTGTTTAGCTTGTAATCTCAAGCGTTTTAGCTGCTGACCGACAAATCCAGAAACTAGCGAGTTCTCCATAGAATCGGGAACAACATGGGCATTCAAGCCCCATCGTTTCAATGCCGCTCGTAGCGGTGCCCCATAATAAGAAGGGATACTGAGGCAATAGCGTTCTATGTCCAGGCGCCACTGCGGCAAAGGTGGTATTTTATTTGAACCCCCCTTCGCCACTTGATCTAGTAATTGCCAAAGAACCTGCTCTCAAAATTCCAACCCAAAATTAATGAATTGATGATTAAATTGACATGATGCAAATTTCAGATATTCGAATCTAGTATATCCCTTATGCTAAACAAAAGACAAAACGACACACAAGAAGTTTCAGAGAACATTGTAGAGACGTAACTAATTTTAACTATTATCTGTTGTGACACTTTGAACTGACCATCTACTCAATTTTTTTTCATTTAGAAATGCTCCAGTGAGTGAACCACGCTTTATACTTCATATAAACCCAAGCTGAACTCACCGGATAGTTATAGGGCAGAACAATCAAGGTTAAGGAAGTCCCACCACGATTGAGTCGCAGATACCTATGCGAGCCAATATTTCAAGAATTAGTCCAAACCTGACCTTACTCACCGGGTAGTTATAGGGTAGCACAGTCAAAGTTAGTGCACGATCACCCCGATGGAATTGCAGATACCTATGTAAGCCAGAGCTTCAGAAGTTAGTACAAAATAGACAACTTACATCAAAGTCATCAACGTCATAAGTATAAAAAAGCTTATCCAGTAGTCTTTGAATTCGAGAAAACTCTGATACTGGTACATCAAAACTATGTGTAGTCACTCAGCACAGGCACTGGAGGAAGATATGTGCGATTGAAGGTTCGAACCGTTGTATGGATCTTTTACTTACCCAAAAGGATCCCCATAGCCATGATTCGTTCCTTTACTGTTTTTGACATATACTTGCCAGCAAACATTTGTCGGTGCCTTGAGAAGGAACCCCATAATTGGATTGGATTCAATCTGCATCAATCAACACATACCTGAACCTTATTATTGGTAGACAGCTGTGCAGTATTGTTGCATATAGACTCAACAACTTTAACTTCCTACCTTGCTTCAGTAACCTAGAGCTCGCTTCAGCAAACAGCTTGGCTTGATCATTTCATGCCCTTTTATATCATCTCCGTCACTGACCTCGTATCTGTCAGAAGTGAAATTTGGAGGTATAAAAGGATCCGCATCGACAGCTTTATACGATATCGTTGGATGAGATTCTCTTGGAGGGATAGCGGGGTGAGTCGGATCTGGCCAAAATGCCTCCGGTATAGGCCAATGACCTTGCTGTGCTTGACCTCCCCTGACATAGAGCATCTTCCGCTGACAAGCTGCAATTACCTGCACACATACATGGCAAACTTCGGTAAAAGTCACATCCGAATAAATTATTGTGTGACTTGAAATCATTAACTTTATAAAGACGATGCCTTGCAAGCTTTCAAGCATTCCACATCTTTATGTACGTGGTTATCCGTCTGCCTTCCCATGCTGATACATGAAAATCAATAGACGCACTTGATATACTGGCAAATCAAGTATTATTTCAAGCCTCTGGGTAATTACCCGTCTTTCCATGTAAAATACTTTTCTTTTGTTATATTCTTTCTTCTATTGGATTGTAGAAATTAGTTATGAAGTATAAGCCCCTATAACCCTGATATTAATGCGATTCTAAGATCGGGAATCACCCAAGTACATATTTACCCTCCAATTGTAATCTGTCTCTGCAGGTGTTGGTCTATAAAACTGCCCGTCTTCTGCAAACCTGCTAATGTTTGAACTTCCCTCCTGTCAAATCCCTGCTTCACTTTAGATAATCAACTCGCTTCGGGGATGTATCATCCCACTGGAGAGACCAGATCAAAGATGCAAGATACCGAAGCAACACAAATCTGGGAGTTACGTCTCAAAGGCTAAAATAACATCTATAGAACCTAAATGATCTCTAACGATTAGGTGACCCCAATTACTGAAAGTGGAGATCTGTAATAATGTCAATTCTAGGTGTCATTCAAACAATGGAAAAAAAGCAAAACAACAAAGCAAAAGATGCTCAAACAAACCAGGAAGAATTGTGAAAACTTTGCCACCTATGAAGGAGCGGTAAATGACTGTACACGAGTAAAAATGAGAGGAATACTGTCACTGTTGACAGATGTTACCTGGGGAGGAAGGGTGACAGATCCTGGAAGAGGCATATGGTCGAAGGATACAATAACACATGGCGGCAACCTCGTAGCCGTAACTTCTGTATGTTGCATCAACACTTTCCAGCTAGTTGCAACAAAACACTTGCCTCTGCAACCCAATGGACGTAACCTATCATTATTATATTTCCAGTGGTCTTGGTAATCTTCTAGAGGTTAATCTACTAGTGTAAACAATAGACTACACCAACTCCATGAGCATGTAGAATACACCAACTAGACATCCCATTGAAGAGGTTTATCACGAAAAATGTGGCAAAAATATTACAAACCGTTCTCGTCCGTATATATAAGAGTAACTCAAGTCCTACTGCTAACAGTTGTTAGATAACCATTGGTTCCCGAAATATTGTGTAAGGTGAACATGATGAAACAGTGTAAACAAATACGGAAGCGGAAAACACAGCGAAAGTTACGAGAAAGAACATACAGACGAGCAACCCAGAGACAAACACACAGACCAGCATTCAAGTCCTTAACAAAATCCCATATGCAAAGCTCAGCCTGTACCCAGTGTATTCACAAAAAGTAGAAATGGTGTTGTCCATTTGAACGGCAATATGCGATCCAGATATTGGAGCGTTTTGGGGTATAGGGCCGCTTCTTTCCAGAACCGCTGAGCTTACAGAGGGTATCCTGAGGAGATCCACGATGTGAATATATCGTCAGAACAACTGTTTCTAAACATCAGAACACAATCTATGTACGTACTATGTAAGATCCACATATGCTAAATTAGAAAAATATCTGACGGTACCTTCCAAGTTAAGGTCAAACCGTGAAAACAATTCATAACAAATGCCTGTGTTCAAGGAAGCGAACGACATAGCTTCCCAGTTAATTGCAACAAGAGACAATCGGTTTCAGTCATTTTGAATACTTAGAAGTAGCAGAGACAGAACTTAGAATTTCTCTGTAAACCTTAGATAATACAGTACAAATACAAGAGGCGGTGGAGAAACAAGACAATGTCGAGTCTTTAATTTGGTACGTTACCTAAGAACAGTTGCAAAGACACGCTGATCCCATCTGAAAGGCTGCGATTGTAAATCAGCACCAACCACGGGACCGGGGAACTGAAGTTGAGCAGTAACACCTGCCTGCAACGAAGCAAATCAACAAACATTGATGACCAAGAACCATATGAAAATTTCGAGTAAATGCGACCTGAAACACATCCAACTTACTGTAAATCGATGTTTTTAAAATCTGCCATGATTGCCATCCATCTATAGGACATCATGAGATGAAATATACCAAAGAGGTAAGTTCTGTGCCATCTGTAAGGAGCATGATAGTTGTCGGATCAATCTGACATGGATTGCGTCCCTGACCTGCAGTAGGAGATTAAATCCTCTGTGAGCAATTTCCTAAACAGGTTCATAAGTGTATACTCACAGATCCCAGTAGTTTCTTTTCACCCACTAAAAGAAGAAGATAAGAACGTAATCAGGCCATTCAAAAAGAAGAAGAAGAGCTCAGCAGTACTGAAATTCCTGAAAACTGTAAATCGAACATTGGTCCTCTGCACTTCGACATGTTACCTTCATACAACTCTCAAGTCTTACAAGAACAAGCCATCAAAACCAATGCATTTAGAGACCATCCTCGTCAAAGCAGGCCAGAGTATTAGAAGAACAAATAAGAGGAAACACACCAAATTTATCAATGTCGACTGCCAGTCTTTGCACATGAAGGAAGCTGAAGATTCTCTGCATGGCTGAGCCTATGTTTGTCAGATCTCGAGCTTGCACACTCTTCAGGGCACGCATGAAATGCGTAAAAGGATATTTATCCACAGCCTGAGCACAAGTCCATAAAATGCGATATATTACTACAACTCCTCTGTTAGAGACCAAGAACTGACTCGTGAAAACCCTTCAGTGGAGCACGCAACAAAAAAACAGATATTCTAAATCATTTGAGACCAAATGCACGAGTGGAGGTGTTTGAGACAGACCACAGTGATGCAATTTGATGCAAGAACAGAGCCTGGTTGCGGCGGGTTAGCAGATTCTAAATCTTTCTGTACACTAGGTTAGATACAAAGTAAGACAAAGTTTGCAGTAATTGATCTACAATAACATATAACCAGGCAAAAAATGTCATGAGGACTACAACAAAAATTATACATTACGGAGACTGAGCGGTTGGTGAATGCAATTTTTGTAAATGCACACAGAACAGCACAAAAGCCCAAATCAGAGTAAAATACGTAAATTAAAATGCATGTTGAGATAGAGAGGCAAGACAATTTTAGTAGAGAACGAACTGGACATGCACCAACCGTTGCCACCAAAACAATCACTAACGAGGTGAAGCAGCGACACAAGAGCACTACGTACAATGCTGACAGTGGATACAGAAGTCCGGGAATTATCTATAACCGTCATGGGGGAGCATCAAGGCAACAAAGCTCTCCACCCCGCCTTCAATAAAACGTACAAAATGCAAGTACAATGTCGGAATATGTGAAAGATCTAAACAGATGATTCCAGACTGTCCAATCCATAACCGGCAACTCACCTTGATAGCATCCGGGCCATCTTCACATGTGACCAACATATACCTGCACAACAGTTGAGTACTGAAATCAGAAATGCAATAGGTTTACTACATTCTGCATAAGCAAGACTTCCTGGAAAGTTGCAATCATCGCATGGAAACTAGCTATGATGAACCTCTGTGAAGAAGGATATCACACCTGTCCAGTCGACTTGATGCATCCCGTGAACGCACCTAAGTTTGAAAACAGAAATCCGAATTCCGTCAAAAGAGCATGGAGGTAAATGACTTAATTATTCATGTAAAGAAGGATAATACAAGGAGGGGAAAAATCAGCAGAGAATTAGCATCCAATTCACACAATGAAATCATCTCCAAAATTACACCATGCAATAACCGATGAGGCTCCCCAAGACCCCTCCCATACTGGCCACAAACAACTTGAAATACCAATTGACCAACGCCTCACCGACCCACCTTATGAAAATGCTCCACAGAACTTTTGGCGCAATCCAACAGAGATAATCCATTGGCACAGCGCTGATTCATGGACGCGCTGGTGTCCATCAAAAAAACGATCAGCATTTTGTCTTCCTCGTTTCCGTCCACCACCTCGGAACAAACTCGTCTCAGAATTCCAGACAACTCCCACGTCCTCCCCAACCTCCATACAACGATTTCCCCCTCCTTCCACCATCCACAAACTCTGAAATCGCAGGCCCAGGCTCAGACTCGGCAACCAAACCGCAAATCATATCCTCCACGAACATCTCCCTCCCTGCCTCCAATCAATCCCTCCGTCGCGTTCTTTGGCTTCATTTCATTCTTTCTTGCTTTCTTGCTTTCCTCCTTCCCGTCCCGGCCCGAGAAAAGGCTCCACTCGAACGCCCACGCTCCAGAGCCGGTAGTGCTTCCGCAGCGCTTCCTTCCTTCCGTCCGTCCTCGCCTCTCTCCTCTCGTCTCGTGCTGGCTGGTGGCAGGCTGATGATGCTGCTAAAGGACAGCCGACGCGGACGCACAGAGAGAGACAGACATGTGCACTTTCTCTTGACTGTACAGGACTGTACTGTACTATGTCAGGCAAGCGAAGGTCGACGACGTTCGTGCTCGTCCGTCTGATTTTCACCCGGAATCCACATGCGGATTCCGAGAGACGGATAAACCCTAAACCCTCCATTTCACGTCAACCCGTGCCACGGCCTGCGTGCGAATTGGATGATTGTAACCGGAGAGTGCCGCGACACGGGCTGTCGGGCAGGCGATGATGTGGCCGGTCCCTCCACCCGGCGCATCGTCATTGGTCGGAATCCTTCCCCATCGTGGCTATTTCATATGGTTTTCAGACCGGACAGAATCTTTGACGGTTGGCAGTCGGCCCGTACGAGGTTTCGGTCATGTCGACTTTGACCACGGCGCTCGCTCGTCCCATTTTTCTTCGACTGTGCGATCATCGAGTTCGCATCGGGTCCGATTCTCCCTGATACTCGAGAGTTCAGGGCACGCAGAAATGCGCCGTTGGTGCTCTGTTGCAAGACCCTTAACTGACTTCAAGAGATAATCGTGATAGGATGGCAAGTAAAATATCATTTGGTGCAAGAATGCACCGATTAATAGACAGCTGAGTACCCAAAACTACAATTCCAGTTCAAAGCGTTCGGCAATGAAGCACCATGAGATGAATAAAGTAACTAACATGTTAGAATTGTTTAAATTTAACATTTATTTACCAATATTGGAGGAAGACAGTATATTAAGCATAACATGTGAATCTACTTCAGTAGAGTAAAAGCATATATTTTGCTGTCAGATTGTAACCAATTTCAGTTAGCTGTGATTATTTCAGGTCAGTCTTCTCTTAGTGACTATATCAGTGAATGGCATACAAAATATGTGCACGAGAAAAGAATCTATAGGTAAACTTTGGCATGTATGACTATCATATAAAGAGTATATGGACTAGATGCTTGATGTCTCTCAGAAAATATATTATTCAAAAAAACGAATCATACAACCTATACATGCTAGCAAAAGGCATTATATTTTCACCGTCATAATACCATATTATATAAAGCAAGGAGATGTGTTAAAAACACTCAAGAAATTATGTTCAAAGCCATTTCAGAATCATTGGCTTGAATTTCACCAAAACCATCATTAAACATATTATTTTTCTAATATGAATGTGAATCAAATTTTTTCAAGTTTCTTTTGATGAGAAAAAAATCTTTTAAATTGAACTTGGTAGAGGATTATATTACGTTTATTGTCTGAATTGACTCAATCATTGAGTTGTAATCAAAAGGTGAAAAAGAAAGGAAATAATTCTATATTTTACTGTATTTTGTAATGTCAAGATGTGTTATATATAAAATGTCAAAAATTATTAAGTTTTTTATCTTAACATCAATACTTGAACCAAAAGATAGAATCTAGAGAAATGACAATCTTATTTCAAGTCACCACAAATTTAATTTCATTGAAATATGAAGAATTTGAGTATATATCTTATATAGTTATGTGTTCAAAATTTGCTTACTATTTTTAATTATTTTCCACGTGTTTATCCAATTCCTATATTTAAATATTATATCTTTAGAATAATTTTTTTGAAAAAATAGTGAAAGTAACGAATTAGACATAAATGTTATTGAATTCAGTAATTTCTTAAAAGGGAAAATTAATTTTTCCATATCTTTAAAAATTAAAAAATTAAAAATATGATTCTGAATAATGAAAAAATAAATTTCAATTTAAATCTCTTTATTAACCAAATTTTTTATTATTAAATATCTTAAATACACTGTACTCAATATATCATCTTTTTTCTTAAAGTCTTAATATTTTATCTTAATAAATATAAGTTACAATATATTTACATATATATCCATGTAAAAAAATAAATGTTACATTTATAATCTATAGCAATGTCATAAATATTATAGAATACATGCAAAAATATTAAAAATTTGTAATTCAAATAGATTGATTCAAAAATTACAAATGTGATCTCTAATATAATGTTTCAACTCATTGAAAGACATGACAATTGATTTGATTTTTATTTAAAAGCTAGTTCTATCACGTTACAAAATATGAAAATGATTCATTATGTAGATATATTTATTGATGTGATATAATCTTCAAATAAGATGCTTTTGGTCAACAAATAATTAAAGTTTTATGTTATATAATTGTTGATTTGAAGTAATAACAACATTTCAATATGATTATTGAATTTTGATTAAAAATGGATATGAATTTGCATTGAACTATATTCTGAAAATTCATTTAAACTGATGAATGAGCATACGTTTTGAATTTTAAAAAGATGAAGAATACACAAACAAATTTGGAAACAAACTTGATAATATTTAATTGATTATCAATCAAACAATCAAAGCAAACATTAATCTACCAACGTTTGAAATGATTTTCACTGACATAAAATATAAGATGCAATAACATTGACAAATATATCATAATCAATGTTTGATTTGATTTATAATTTCTCAAATGCTTTCATTTGACTGAATTGATATGAGAAATATAAAAATTAATTTTGCAAAATTAAGTTTATGAAAACATCAACAAAATTACAAACGAATCTTAATTTGTATAATCAAAAACTAAGATAAAACCTCATATGTAATATAAAGCTAATTATTTCAATTTCATTCAAACACAAATAAATATAATTAATATAGGAATCAATTTTTAATTATTATTCTTTTGATACATGTATTGATGTGTATGATGCTCATTTTTAGAATGATTAATGTGAAATAAATCTTTGATGCAATCATAATATATGCTTTTCTGTAAATTTGAATAAAATTGTTGTCAATTGCCGTAGGTGAAATTTGTTTGGCTTATTCTATTACAAAATTTTGTTAAAACCAAAGCTCCATTACATAGAATTCAAAAAAGTAGATCCTCACTATAAAAAACCAAATTTTCTATATAAATCCAACTGCACTTTGTTAAAAATAAAACTCATGTAACCCATAATAGAAATTCAAAAAAGTATATACAAATTGTAAAAAACCAAATTCTATGTAATATCAAAACTTCATTGTGTTAGAATAAAAAATTCGGTCACTCATGACAGAGTTTGAAACGGAAAATCCAAACTCTTTAAAATCCGAATTCAATATATTAATACAACTGAGGTATGTTAAAACTAAAACTCATGTCACCCATGACAAAGAATTTAAGTAAATAGATCCAAATAGTAAAAAACCCAAATTTGATGTATTAATCCAACTGCAAACGTCGAGTGCTTAACGCTTGAAATTTCTAAATAATAGCGTCTGAGATGATTCCTTGTGCTAACACTCTTTCAACAAACAAACAGATAGCATTAGCAAGGTATCCATCCCTCATTTTGTTCCTCGACCACATTTTCACAATCTTCAATGCTGAGAACGAACGTTCAGTTGACGTAATGCTGACAGATAAAGTTAGAGCCAAACTGATTGGTCAAAACACAAGATGATAAGAAACAGACTTCTTGAGTTCAAACATCTTTATAGCTAAAGCAAAAAGAGATTAAAATCTAGAACAAGCTTAGTTTAACCTCAACTCTATACAGAGTTGCAGAATCCGTTGTTCTAACATCATCAAATCATATTGTTCAAAATCATGTGGATACATGTGCCCCAACTAAACTAGCTGTGAAACACTTTCATGAATGCGAAGGTGATATGGGCATAAATAAGCAATCCGTGTGAGCAATGCAAACAAACATTCAGAAAAACTGTCATCAAGCTCATCTAACTGTGAATCTACGATATTGAAGAAGATCTTCACATGATAATAATGATCAAAGGTTATGCTGTCAGCATTTCAACGAGGACGTCCCGTAAGCACATAACTTGATTTCATATTAGTGACAGCGATGTTTTTTGCGAGAAAAAAAGTTTGAACCTCTCCATATATTGTCTTTCATTCTTCTTCTGATCTTATTTCTTGCAATTCATACTTTGAAATAGCAACAATGTCCATAACGTTGAGTATGTCTTGGTCATAACGCTGTAAAGCTTCAGATAGAATTGGAGATATTTTTAAAACTGACTTCATAATGTGTAACATTAGAACAAAGTCAAAGCAACATATTGCATCCAACAATCTTGACGCTTTTGCTTTTGAAACTGTTATAGTCGCATTTTTCACAATAATTTCCAGAACTTTGACAACTGAATCATACAAATCAAGCACTTGACAAATAGAAACAAAATGAGTTCTCCATGTAGTCTCTCCTAGCCGCCAGAGTGATTGTTCCTGATTTAATCCGCGACCTGTTCTCATTTCTCTGCCAACAATTGCATCACGGATATAAGTTGCCTGTAATTCTTAAAACTGATCCGCACGTTTACAATAAGCATATACCGTGACACATAATGATGACAATTCAAAAAAAAACTGCAAACTTTGACTTGACTCTTGGCTGCTGATATCAAAGCAAGTTGAAATCAATGTGCAAAACAATATCATAGTTAGATGATGATACTTCTCTTTGGATGATAATCTTCAACGTGTTTATGTCTCCATGCATATTAGATGCTCCATCATATCCTTGTTATTGTACACGGAATAACGAAAGATCGTGTAGGCTCAAAGTGAAAACAATGGCAATCATCAACGATTCTGAATGTGTATCAGCAACATGGATCATATCCAAAAATCTCTCATGAAGTCCTCCAGAACTGCCAACAAACCTTATAACCAAAGACATCTACTTCTTTGTCAATTCATCTCAAACTTCATCAATCAGCAAATAAAAAAAGCTATCACTGATTTGCTTCACAATATGTTCTTGGACACGTGAAGTCATGGTCCTTAGTACGTCCTTTTGGATGTTTGGATATGTCATCGTCACATTCTTTGGTGCATGATCGAGGCAAACACGTTGAAAATTTGCAAAATGCTGATTGAGATGAGTATGTAGCTCAAGAAAATTTCACAATTGAATGACTCTTTAGACTCGTCATGATCGCAAATTGCAAGACAT